CCTCCCCCTCCCCCCGCGCCCATCGCTCGCGCCAGCAGCCGCATGGGCCACCCGGCCAGTCGCGTCGCGTCGCGTGCGCCGCGCCACGGCCCCCTGTTCGCATTGCAGCTCAACACACTCCACGCAGCTCTCGGGTCCACCCACGAGGCGGATGCGGGATTCTTTTGATCACCCTCCCATCACAGGAGTCTCACATGCCCTACGAGTATCTTGTGGAATATATACTGAATTTAGGAAATTCATTTTGCAAATATTCATCCATCTGACATTGAGATCAATACTAATAGGAATAGTGGGAAGTTAAAAAAATATGGAAAGAAGTCTTTAGAGAGACGCTAGTTACATTTCAGTTAACTGTACAAACAATATACGGGGCAATAATGAAAGGTACGTCAATGTAAGTTGCCTACAACCCGCATGCGTTTGCTGCAAATGAAGGCCGATCGCCAGCCACCGCCACGGGCGAAGCGCAGCGCAGGGCAGGGGCGGACGGCTCCGCGCGCGCCAGGGAGGGAGAGAGAGAGAGGGACGAGCGCAGAGCGAGAGCAGCGCGGCGCAGGCAACGCGCACGCCCGCCACGCCCCCTCAACTAGACGCTGCGGCGACGGCGGCAACCCTTCCTTTCCCGGCCCGACGCCGCAGCCTCCTCTCTCTCTCTCTCATCCTCCCCGCCCGGCGACGGCCTCCGGGTGCCGAGAGAGGCCGCCGCCACCGCCGCCGGCCGTCATTACGGCCACCGCTGCCCCCGGATAATGACGATAATGGAGGAGCGCGCGGCGCGGCGTGGCGCGGGGCGCGGGGCGGGGCGGGGCGCGGGCCTGTCATCAGGCGCCTGCGCGGACGCCCTCCCGTCACCCCCAGCCTCCTCCTCCGACGCCGCCGCCGCCTCCATCCGGCGCTGCGCGGCGCTGCGGACACGTGGCGGATGAATGGGCTTCCGCGCCGCGTCTTGGACCAATCGCCGGCCGCCGAGCGTCGCGACGCCCCCATAGGTTTCCGATCGACGCCTGCGGCGCCGCGCCGCGCCGCGCCAGCTGATGCGGACGAGGAGAAGAAGACGGGGGGCGTTCGCGGCTGGCCGCCGGCCGAAACGCCGCCGCCGCCGCCGCGGGAGATGAATGAGATATAAGAAGGGAGGTGGGGCCCGGGCGCGCGGCCCGGCGCACTCGCGGCCGGCGGCGGATCGTAAATTCGCGCGCCCTGGCAGCGGCGGCCGCGAGAGGTACGCGAAAGATGCCGCACGATGGTCGCGAGCGGCGCGAAAAACTTGCTCCGCCATTACGATTCTTATTTATACGCCTTTTCCATGAAGCGCACGTTAGACACTGCTCAAAACGGTAAAAATATGGATTCAAAAGGAAAGTAAACAATTAATTCGTTAATAAACCGATGTTGATAATAAAACAGGATTTTTACTCAAGCAGATAAAAGTTGCATTCTAAACCGTCTATTCAGCAAATCATAGCAATTGTCTGCTCCGGACAAACCCCTCTTCAAATTTGACAAAACCTAATAATATGTGCTAACGTTTTACCGAAAAAATTTAGACCTAAAATATTCAACAACATGAATTCCCAGCATCTCATAATATAAAATATTAACTTCCAACTACTATATTTATTCAATGAGTCGCAAGAACAAACTTCCACATCAATTGAACTGAATTTTATTATAATCGAAACATCAGTCTTCAACAATCAGGACAATTAGCGTGAGAAAATATGACCAAAAATAATACGAAATGTTGTTAACATGCCTGAGAGACAATACTGGAAAACAGGAAAAATAAATAAAAAATAAAGGAAGAAACTGGCCGGTCAGATGCGCAGGTGGACGGGATCGTTAAGGCAGTAGTGTCGTTTCAGTCTCCGACCACAAGATCCCAAATTCGCCTCGAGCATCGGTGTATTTGTTTGTCTGCATGAGTGTGTCGTCCTCTCTCCCCTCACAATCATCATCATCATCATCATTAATTCACCTGCCATGTCCCCAGAGCCAACAACCCCGGGGCGTAAAAATGAACTTAGCAGAAATGCTTATCCCCCCACACCAAACAATGTTTCATGTGCATACCCCCAGAAAAAAAATATGACTGGGCCTTGGTGAGCGGAACTGCACGTTCACATGGTCTATAGAAACGCAAATTCGCGACAAAAAAATCTCTCCCACACCTTACACGATTAAATTTATTTATAAAAAAAAACGGCATCAGTTTCGTATGCCGTGATAACGTGACCTTGTCGCGGGAGATTGTTCCTAGGATCAGCGCACCCGAGGAATCGCGTGGGGCTCCTCTCAGCTCACGGGTCGGCAACCCTCAAAGGCATTCCTGCGACAGCGCCGGGATACCGGTTCACTCGCCGCCTGCGCGCGCGTCGCGGAGACGGAAGCTATCGGTCGCCTCTGGAATCCGTAACGCACTGCGCTGGCATTGAACCCGGGAGCGCTCCGGGCGACTCCGCCGCCGCGCACAGTCGCCGAGCGCAACGAAACAGCTGCGCGAGAGCCTCAAACACACTAGTGATTATTTTAAATTTCAATAGAATAAACGTTTTCCTTAGAATACGTTTCTAAATTGAAACCGTGGAATTTCGCCAAGACGTTCTGCTATCAATCCTAGATCCAGAAGTAAACATGTAACAGTGATTAAGGAGTTGGTGTACCCTCGAACGTTTAAGCACTATCGATCTTGTGCGCAAGCGCTGTTCTCGTTTCGCATCACGTTAGTGCATCTGCGCATGCGTAGAAGATCGACAGCGCTGTCCGCTATGGCGATCACAAACTGCCTATTACCTCTTTTTGGAATCAAAAGGACAAATTCGAATTCTAGGTTCAAGTCAAGAAATCATCTAAGAGGCCGCGAAAAATTTGAACACACTGTTTGTGACTATTGATAAATTAGCTTTCCGAGATTTCAAGAAAACGACTGTTACGTACGTACACGTTGTCAGCATAAGTTGAAAATCTCGACAAATTGAAAAAGAGAATACAAACGACGAACGTATATAATAGAACGTAGCCTTGATAAATTTTGCTTAATACGAAAACAAATGCGATATGTCTAATAATATTTTGTACTGATTTTTTTTCTGTCTGAAGCCCCGTTACTCAGGCTCTATCTCACGTCTCACGCGCCCAGCCACTACCTCAAACACATTTGTTGTCTTCACCGCCGTCACCATTTCCGCCGCCACCTCCACCACCTTCGCCGAGATGGGCGCAATTAACCAGGTTCCATCCAAGGAAGCGGCGGTAGCGGGAAACCTGGGCCAGCCCCTCCCCTCCCCACCCTCTCCCCCAACGGGCCACGGCCCCGCGTCCGGGTAATTAAAACTTAACCGATATTCATGTATGCGTCCATGTTTAATTGTCCCGCCTCGTGGAAGGCGGACGCCCCAAGAATATCGACGCCCGTTCCTCACAGCCTCACATCTCGTCACGTCCCACCTCCCGGGCCGCCGGCTTCCATCGGAATCGTGCGGGCGCTGGATGACTTCCAACGCCAGCCAAGGGTGACGCACTGGGGGGCTCGGCAGCAAACGCGGATTAAACTAATATTTTAGAGAATATTTGAAAATACAAATTTAATCACGGAGGAACATCAACACTTCCTCCTACACATTCGACTGGACATTAACGGTACTACGTTTATTTTCCTCAGAAGATAATAATATAACTATTGTTTCCTACATGGAGAAGTGAATGGTTTCTAGCATCAATCAGAAGTTTATTGCAAGAAATCAAAAAATTCAGCCGACTGAAACATTGTTCTCTCTGGGCACGTGAACTGTTGTGATATTTATTTCCGTGAATGTAGTAAAAGTTGTATTCCGGGAGTCGGCGGTATTTCTTCCCAGTTGCATGGTGACACCCGGCGTCAACCTGCACGCCATCTTCGACGTAATATTCCCCTAAATGTATCTCTCCAACAAGTTATCCACCTCAGTTCGGACATACTCTTAAGATCCAACAGGTCTCCCATCTCTCGTACTGTTTTTTATGTAAGTGTAAATGTCAAGGGTGAGTAGGAAAAGGAAAAAGAAGGCAAAAACTGCGCGCAGCTCGTAGCACGATTTTCTAGGGAACTGCTCCGGCATTCACCTAGTATAGATAAGAAAAAACATACAGTATACTACTGATCAAAACAGTCAGACGCTTGAATTTTCCTCCAGACAGCAGCTGAACTCAACCTAGCCACCTCGTTGCTGTCGAAAAGCCGTCACCGTCGGGAGTCGAACCGTAGGACCTCCCAGTAAGACGCCGCAGTCAACGGTAATGCCGTCTCTACGCTAACTAAACTCCGGCAAAATTCAGCAGAATTGTCCACCAGGAGCTCGTGCATCGCCAGGCCGCAGGGCCGCCCGCGCGGAGAGCGAGTCGAGTGGCGCACGGCCGTGCCGCGCCGCACGCGTGTCATTTGCGTCGCGCGGAAAGAGGGAGGCGCCCGGCCCCCCGCCCGCCCCCCGTCGCTCGCCCGCGGCCTAATCGCGCTCCGGCACGAAAGCGGCGGGCGACGCGGTTGGGTCGGCACGCCCCCCTCCTCGCACTCGCCACGGGGAGGCAGGCGCGGATCCACGGGAGGAAACGAGGGGAAAACCCTCCCCTAGAATTTTTTCAGTCACTATTAATTTTAACGTGTCACGAAATTTTCAAGCGGAAATATTTTCGGATAAACACACGGAAAACGAGATAAACTCGTATCGCAGAAAGGAGTTGAGTGTAGTCAGCGGCATTTTATAATATGACTCATGCCAGCCGAACCAATTTTGAATTTCCCCTCCAAAATTTTTCTTGGATCCGCCGGGCGGTGGCGGTTCGGGCGGTGGGTAGCGGTGCCGAGGCGGCGGGTCAAAGCGTGGTAGCTTGCGGGGGCGTGCGGGCGTGGCAGAGGCGGCGCGGGACTGGCGGTCGGCGGTGGGTAGCGTGCAGAGGCGGGCGGGCGTGGCGGGGACGGCGGGTCAAGCGGTGTAGCTTGGAGGCGGTGCGTGGCGTGGCAGAGGCGGGCGGACGGGTGGTGTGGTAAGCCGTGCAGGGCGGGCGGTGACGTGCGCGTGCGGGGCTGCGTGCGGAGGCGTGGCGGGGGCGGGGCAGTGCAGGCGTGGAGGTGTCTCGCGCCGTCCTGCCGCCCGCACGTGCCGTTGCGAGGTCGTTGCTCGCCCGTTTCGTTTTTTCTCGCCTCCGCCCTCCGCCTCCTCCGTGCCGCACGCGTAATGAAATAGGTGGCGCGGAGCTGTTTGACAGCGCCGCAACGAGAGGAGGGCACCGGGCGGCGAAGGCGGCGGCGGCGGCGGCAGCCGCCTCTCGCGGGCGGACGTGGAGCACCCCGTCACTTTGCGGAAAGCCGTCGAGGAGGGAGATCGCGCTCGCGGACCAGACATGCCGCCTTGCGGTAGGTCAGGGCGACAAACTCCGTGCATGTCCCGCAACTCAGCCAGCGGTTTGTTTCGTTCCTTTAAACCGCTGATTTTTAAGAAATAACTGTTCCTGCAACCCGGTTCATTTAGTGACTTCGGGCTAATGAGGCAATGAGTCCCGTAAGTGTAGTGCAAGTGTTTTAACGCTGGAGATGGTTGTAATCTTCCCCCGCCGGATGGCGAGATCCGGCGCCGACCTACGTTGACTTAGGGAGATTTACCTCAACTAGGCCTGCGTGGCGTCGCCGCAGCCGCTACCAGCTCTTAAGCTACCGACTGGTCCCCTGGTACGTGTGACAGTGTAGTTCATGTGAGTTTAAGTGCGTGTAAATAAGAAGTGAGTATAGGACAAGAAATCCCCTGCAAGTGATTTTTCTCTACCCTACCAGTATTGTTTCCTTTCTCAAAGCACACGTTCTGTCTAAAATTCTGTGATGTATTACTCATAAAAGTAATTTTCACTAGTAGCTTTTAATATTACCTACCGTATTTAATAACTAAGAAATAATAAAGTATGTATACTTATTCTCGACACGTAAATATTGGAAGGTAGACGAATGTCCCAAGATTTCTCTCCAGACGAAGCCCTCCGAATGCGGTAGTGAGCAACACGTTGGACACATACCGACGTATCTGACAGAACGCACGATACCTTAAACAGCGCCGGTCGATGGGAACGGGAATGGCCGGCTAATGAAGAGCTAATTACAGGCGATTAATTAACTAAATTGGGACGGGCCTCCGAGAGAGCAACTGCGCGAAAAAGCGCCGTGTCTTCGCGAGGGCCACCGCGTGTTTGGCGCACATAACAGTGTGTCCTCGCTGGGCGGGCGGGAGGCGAGGACGTGGACGAGGACGAGGAGACGCGACTGCGGGAGGGAAGGAGGCGGGGACGAAGAAAAACCAACCACGCGGACAACCACGTTGAAGTTGACGCCGCTGGAGCATTCGCTGGAGTGACAACGGTCCGGGGCATATGGTGGTGATGATGGATACGAAGAAGTGGTTGGGGTGGTTCAGGTGGGTCGCGGAGGTGGAGGCGGGGGGCGGCGGCGAGTCTCGAGCCCGAACTTATAACGCACACACGCGCCGCGCGGTCTCCACTGATGAGTTTTCTTTCAGAGCACAGACAATTCCTCCGGGCGAGACATTCTTTTTAACAAGCTGATCTATTTTCTTTTGCCTTACATTTTCAGTCCTTCGTTTTTCTTTCTTCTTCCTCTCCCCTCCTCATCTTGGAGTGTCTTTTATACTTTCAAAACGGGTCCCCTTCAAGAGACAGAGAGAGAGGGAGAGAGAGAAAGAGAGAAAGGGGGCGGGGTATTTTGCACGAGGTCATATGATGAGCAGACTGTAACGTGCCGGCAACGGCTTAAAAGTTTTTGAAAAGAAAAACCCGCTAGGATTAATTAGTAGGTGCCGGCGAACAAAACAAAACAAAAAACAAAAGAAAAGAGCGCACGCAACATAATGCAAGCGGAAGATACTAAAAAGGGTCGAAAATGAATACACACAATATACGGACGAAACGGAGCTGGAAAAAAAAGAATGCGGGGACATATACATGGACGTAGCAACAAGTTCTTTGGCAAGGCAGCTCGAGGCAGGCAAATTCCGGCGGGCGCAGAGGGGGTGGGGTGGGCGGGGGAAGGACAAGGCGCGCGCGTGCCGCACCGTAGAAGAAGTTCGGCCGGCGGCCGCGCGGAGGCAGCATGCCAGAGCAGCAGTCCCGCCAGCGCGGCAGCGGCCCCGGATGACGGCGACGGCCGATGCCGACCGCCGCCGGCGCGTTCACGTTGCACCAAAAAACCACACCTCGACGGCGTTATGTTAATGTTTCATTGTGCTGCGCCCCGGGTCCCAGCAGCGGACAGACGTTCCCCGAACGGACACGAAGACGGCGGCGGCGCCCGGA